TGTCACTCTGCATTTCAAGTAAAGTTAAAAAAAAAAATTAAAGAACCAGCTCACAATTATTGGAAACATAAAGCAACCAAGAATACATTCAAGAAGAAAGTCCTCAAAAAAAATATAGGGTCTCCTCCCGAGTCATTCAGTGATTATTTGAACTGGTCGAAGCAATGGTCAAAAACTGAGTCACGGGAATGAAACTGGTTTGTGGAATGGGCTGAACCTCAAGGGGCACACAGGAAATGGTACTAATTTCCCTTTGATTATCAGGTTCCCTTTCTGGACCTTGGATGCTACCTTGGAGAAAGCTCAAAACTTTCTTGTGTTGTAGAGGTCAGAAAAATTTCTTTGATGAAGATTCACTTTCGAGGATTCAGTAGTCCAGTGTGAACTAGAGAAAACTTCAGTTCCAAAGCCAGTTACAGTGTTCTATTCCCTAGCTCCATGCTGACCTGCTGTCTGTAACTATCTTCTCTTTTCCTCTCTGGTTGGAAAAGAAGTGGGGATTAGGGGAGACAAAGGCATGAGAGAAAGAGACAAATTAGTTTTACTTAGTTGGTGACATTTATGGTTCCGCGATATGGCACTTGTCCTTGGTGCTGGTAGTTTAAGGTGGTTTTGTAAATATTTTTTTATGTGGGTTCTGTGCTCTCCATATAACTTTTCTGTGAAACTCCCATTGCTTGTGCCAGTGGCCACACCACACCCTCTTGCTGCTGTATCTTCTGGTTCTAGCAGGCAGTACTACTGCTGGGTGTCTTCTTCTAGGCAGCTCCAGCCCAGCTCCTTCTGTGACAGCAGTTTTGCTCCAGGGCAATCTCACAAGTCTCAGGCACATCAAACATTACCAGTGCAGGTGCTGTTACTAGGACTTTCTCCTCCCTTTGCTGTGGAGGTCTGTTACAGCCAGGCCCCCACATTCAGGATCTCCTAGGCCATGGCTACTCAAAGTGTGGTCCAGGGATCAGCAGCATCCTGTGGAACTTTGTTAGAAAAGCAGAACCACATGTTCCAACCCCTGACAACTGAATTGGAATCTTCCAACCATCATCCGCAGGTGCTATGGTTGGCTGAAGTCTGAGTGTCCCCCAAGAGTCACTGTGATTGGCAGCTTCATCCACTGAGTGTTGGTGTTGGAAAGTGCTGTGGAAGCTTTAGAAGGTGGGGTCACTGGGGGTGTACTCTCAGGAGGTGGTTCTCCTGTGCCTCCTCGGTAGTTCTTGCAGGAGGGTTGTTAGAAAGAGCCTGGACTGGGCCCCACTCAGCCTTTCGCTGATTGGATATGTAAATACTCGCCTGCCCCGACCCATCACTCTGCCCTTGTGACCCTCCATGGAGTTGCAGTCAAGAGAGATGGCCCTCACCAGGGCTGAGCTCATGCAAGCTGCATGCCCTTGCACCTCCAAAACTGAGTGAAAACAAACACCTCTTCTTCATAAGCAGTCTGTGTAAGACATTTCATTAAAGTGATGAAAAGCTGACTGACACACCAGGTGATTCTTAGGCACGTTAGCCTTTGAAAATCCTGACGTATGTATTCAGGTTAACCACTAAACACCAGGGGACTCGTGTCTGGGTCCTCTCTAACTCTCTTAACTAATGCCAGCCTTTTGCCTGGAAGAGGTAGGCAAGGGTTGGATTGGAAGGGGCTGAGGAACAGAGAATTAAACAGATGTGGGAAGGTACAGTGAGTCCTAAGCTGCTTTGCTATAAGCAGACTGCCTGTAGGGTACAACAGGGTTCACTTCTGTTGGACTTGAGGTACAGGAAGGAAGGGATTTCCTAAGATGGGTACTGTCATAGGAGACCCTCCCCCTATTAGTCTCTGATATCAGAGGGCTGAGATATCCCCATAGTACATGTGCATTAAACTAAGCCCATCTGACCCTCAGTCTCATCTCCCCTTTTTGGCCCAAGGTGTTTTCCGATACAGTTACCTGGAATTAGTGGCAGGGAATAAGAGGGTGAATCTGTCCTGGCAGGTTGGCACTGGAGCTAACCTAATGCAGTTTTACAGCCTGGATTTGCATCATCTTGGGGACCATAAGCTTCTCAGTTTGGTTTGATGTGGGTCAGGGTGAGCTGGTCATGCTTCTGGACACCTGGAACTCTCACATCAAATCCCCTCTGGAGAAAGACATATTAAGTCTAGTCTTCACAGATCCCCTTTAAAATTTTCCAGGGACAATGAGCTGTACATAGTAAACAAATAAATATGTCAGGAGATAAGTAAGAACCAGCAGAAAAACACTGACAGCAGAAACAGACTGTTTGTAAACTACAGGTATTAAAATTTTAGATAGATTCTAAAAGAAGAAATACCAATATAAAACTAAATATTTTATGAATAAATAAAAATTCAAATATAAAACATGGAGAGAAGCAAAAAAATAAATACTAAATTATATGAACTTTGATTTTTTTGGCAAATGCAGCCTAATGTTTTATATATGAAGTACATTAAAAGTGGCTTCAAAGGAAAGGATTTTTGCTCTGTGATTGCCTAGGTACTCTTCTGATTACTGTACGAATGGCCAGAAGAAGAGCCCAGCATGAGCATACAAATTCTGTTAATGCTCCGAGCACTTTTCCTTTTGAAAACTTTTTAGTGAAACATTTTATGTTTGGTAAGGTGCAGAAGAAGTTTTACATGTATGCATACCAGGCAACTGCCATCCCCTTCACAGTTGAGTGTTTATAGCACCCCGACAGATCACACCTCTACCATTCAACCACCCACACCGGGGAGCAGTGTTTTCTTGCTCGGTTAGTTTTGCCCATTTTTGGGCTATATACAGGTAGAGACATATAATATGTACTTTTAGAATATCTGGTTTCTTTCAATCAGTGTTCCGTTTGTGATAGTCATCCCTATTGCTGTGTATATAGCATTTGCCTTTTATCTCTCAAAGCTGTATATTCCATTTTGTGGATACTGCACAATTTATCTGTTGTATTCTTGACAGATGATTGGGCTGCTTCCACGTGGAGACCATAATGCTGTTATGATCATTTTTGTACATGTTTTGCTGAAAACACAACCAATCAACTCTTATGAAAGAATACCCTGAAGTGGAATTGTTGGCCCACAGATGCTATGTGTAGTTAGCTTTAGTAAACTGCCTAACAGTTGTAGAAAGTGGTTAGACCTATTTATATTTTAAACATCAATACATGACCATTCTCTATAAACCTTTAATTTGCCTTCCAAATTAAGAGCATCTGTTATTGCCAATTGGATGTTAATGAATTTCTCCAAAGCCTTTGAATGGCAAAGGCTTGGAAAAGGAAAGTTTGTGGTAACTCTGTCAGGGAAGCTGTCAGCTGTCTGTATAGAGGAACAGAGCCAGGAGATGAGCAGAGTTCTAATAAAACCACTTAAGTTCTTGAATGCTATAGTGCCTGAGGCCCCCTTCACCCTGACCTTTTCCAGTTGTACAAGCTAGTAAATTAGAGCCTGAAGTTAGTTTAAATTGGCTTTCTGACACCAGCCATCGAGAGAATCCTGAATAGAGCACCTGAATTGAAAGGAACATTGCAAAGACTCTTGTCTTCCTGTTTCTGATATCGCCAAGTTCCCATTTTTAAGAAAGACCATTTTCCCTCTCCAGCTCTGTCATACAACATTTTATACCTCTATAGCTACAAATTATGCCATATGGTGTGTGCCTCTAACATTGCACGTGGGGACAGTTGGAATTCCTGGGAGTGTTTGCCCAGGTTTGCAGCTGTAGGCATGTGGGATTTTCTAGACCTGCGTGATTTTTAGGTTGGGGCCAAATAATATGAAGATAAATCTACTTTCTTATCTTCCACACAAAGTTTACTAATCTATTAACAGTTGAAAGCAGAAAATCCTCAGAATGGGATTATCAGGTCACCCTCATTTTGAATACACTGGATTTTTATGTCTGAAATACTAAGGGATTTGTATGCTGGTGAAGTTCATGGTGTAGGGGAGTGGGCACTTCTGGCAGCACACAGCATCCCGAAAGCCTAGCTCTGATGCTGCGTTAATGTAGGAGACACTGCCAATACCCCAGTGCAAGAAGTGCTGAGTCAGAGGATCTTTGCACGTACAAGTTCTCATCGTTCTCAAGGTCTGGGCAAGAAGAGAGAAGAGAGTAGAGAAGGAAAGAGTCCCCGAGCTTCCCAGTGTGGTGTGACACAGCTCTGGCTCTCCTCGTGATGCTTTGTGCCTCCAATTTTATTTACTTATTTATTTGAGAGAGAGAAAGAAGAGGAGGAGGAAGAAGGCAGAGAGAGAGAGAGAGAGAGAGAGAACAAGCGTGAACTTCCATCCTCTGTTTCATTCCCCCAAATGCCTGCAAAGGCCAGGAACTGGGAACTCAGTCCATGTCTGTCATGTGGGTGACAGGGACCCAATTACTTGAGCCATCACCACTGCCTCCCAGGATCTGCAAAACAGAGAGCAGAAATCTGTTTTCTTGACAGATGTTAATAACAAATTTTTGGAACTCATTGAAATTAACTCGAGTCATTTTTTAAATATTTTTATACCAAAAATTTAATTTCCACAAAATGATTTCCTATATCCAATCAAAGCCGGCACACCCTTTTCTCAGTAACTTAAACGAATCAGTGACTTGCCCAATGAAAACAAGACAGTGTCTCTTAACCCAGTTCTACTTGAAAAGAATATGCTGGATTTTCAGTGCAATGAACATCTGACGTACAAGCTAGTATCATGTGTGCAGGTTTCACTATGATTTGGGAAGTTCTGGCTGCTGTCACCACTGAAATGCATAGCTATGGCTAGGACTGGGCTCGTGCACAGAAGTGTTCATGAAATAAATTCTCCGAAATTGGATGCTGTATGGAACCCAGCTGCCCCAGGCTTCACAGATGCACCTCCCTCTTTGGACCCTGTGAGTCACAGGAGACACAAGGGCATCTTTTATGAGTATGATTATGGTTCTTGTTGTTGCAATTCCTCGTCCCATTCCTTCTGTTCCTTGTCATCTCAACCCACTCTTTCCATGTAGGTACTCTCCCCACTCTGTAGGACAGTCCTTGCTGTCTGATAACCAGTTTCTCCTTGCTGCGCTTCTGTTTCTACTACACGAGGGTAAGTCTGGGGGCTTGCGTAAGTCCTAGATAAGGTCAGGCTGCACGTGGAGCAGACATCACTGAAGGTGTGCACAAGGGCATCGACATAGAATCCATTAGGGGGTGCCTTCCTCAGAGTCCGGCCACCAGCCCCTCTGGGAGGGAAGCTTCCTGACGTGTCTGTTGGCTCCCCCCAGCACACCTGCCCACCGTGGGAAGGCCTCAAGCAGGCTCATCTGTTCTGCTACCACATGAAGTGAAGGGGAGCGGGTCAGTTCTGAAGTTGCCCCTCATCTATTCTAAGAGGCCACTGGTTGTAAGACGTGGCATCGTTTTATGCACCTCTTTATCACGGGGATTTATTTTTTTCAAAGTGGTAGGGGAACCAAAAAGCAAAGTGAGGGAGCCAAGGGCTAGCAGCCAAGGAGCTCTCTCCTCACCCCTGAAGGATGAGGGGAGGAGGATCCTTGAGCCAGGGAGGAAACTGGGGGGTGGGGAGCCGGGGGTGAACGCTCTGCTCTCACTCTCCCCTCTCCCTACCATCTCCTGCCAGGCCTGTCCACTGGTCCCAGCCATCCTGAAGCCAAAGGGTCCAGGAGCACCTCAGCTCCACAAGAAGTGAGGCCAGCAGGCCCGCAAGGCCAAGTAGAAGATGTGTCTGGTACAGCTACGAAGGAAGAATAGTTGCAATTCGACTGCGGGATGCTGCTCTCCTCATTTGCAATTTTCGTTTTTCACTTGCTGAAAGAACTCTGTTACCCAGAGAAATGGATTATTTTTTATCATGTCCCTTTCTGGGTTTACAATTGCACTTCAGTGTAAACAATGGCGTAATCTTTTGAAAACCTTGTGTGGCAGACTTTTTTTCCCCCAGAGATGACTGTGAATAATGGCTCTTGTTCCTCACGTGTTTCTAGAATGTCACTCCTTTCCACACTGAGAGGGGCAGGCTGATTTCGCCTCACGTGAGCCGGACTCGCACGTAAATTGGAAGAACCCAGCAGAGGTGCTGCTGAATGGCTTCTGAAACCAGATTGGAAAAGCAGATGTGACTTTGACCTTGCCTGCTGGTTCCAGTCTCTGTGGAGCCCAGAGCCTCCGTGTCTACAAGTCTGACTACCTTGTGGCTGCCACACTATGAGAAAGATCAGACTGGTCCAACTGAAGAAGGGTCACGTGGCCAAGCCTGGAGACTTCGTGAAGAAAGAGGCTTTGCTGGTTTCCAGTCGCTGTGTTTCCCTCCACGTCTGCTGGTGCTGTGCCAGCCACAAATGGAGTGCTGTCTAGGGGAGATTTCCTAACCAGAACCACCCTGCCAAACCCTTCCTGAATACTCAGCTCACAGAAACTGTGCAAGATAAAATGATTCTTGTAAGCCACCAAGGTTTGAGGTGATCGATGATACAGCAACAGTAACCAAAGTAAATGTATATCTGTGTGTTGGAATATGTATATTCAACAAGTGTAGTTCCAATAATGCATTCAATTAATTGAAGTGATGACAATCCGAAGACCTATGGCCAAGTTTGCACACACACAGGCAACGACAGCTATGTCATGTCATAGCCAACAGCAGTTGTGAGATACATCTATTTTAAGACCCAACCTAGTGAAGGAAAATCTGGGGGAAAAATGTGCCATGTAGGATTGATGAAATTTTGTAATATGGATGTAGAGGGTGGGACAAAGATAGTGAAAAGCATTAGTGGACTTGTTGGTAAACCAATTTGTTTTGAAAGAACTGAGTATTTTTTAGTTAAAATGACATTGGCTTATGTTCATTGGCAAGAAATGTGAAATGCAAAAAACTGAAAAGACAATAAAAGCCACTAAAATTTTACCATCTAGAAATAAATATCCGGGATTTTAAATGTATTTGCACACACATATAAATATCATCCTACACTGCAGGCTGTTTTTTCCCTATTCAGAAACATGCTGACATCATGTTTCTGCATAATAGATAATGACATCCTGTGAGTATCTCATTTGCTTAACCAGTTATCTGATGATGGACATTTTTTTTTTTTTTGTCTTTCCAACTTTGCTATTGTGGATGGTAACAGAGAAGGCATATTTGTGCATCTATGCTTTCCCTAGTGTGTGATTATCTCTTTGTGGAGAATTTGCAAACATAAGAGTATTGGATTTAATGAGATTTACTTATAATTGATTATAAGCATCACTACAATTATAATTGTGACATGAGTTGACAAAATTCCTCTCAGAAAAGGTTGTGTTCATTTATATGCCATCAACAACTTTTGATAATGCCAGTATTTTCCTCCTTTGACTATATTTGCTTTTTTGTTATTTATCTAATGCCAATGTTATGGTTTAAAGCAAGTTCTTTTTTATTGTTTCTATTTGTATTTTGGAAATAATGCAACTGAGCATCTTTTTCTGTTTTGGCCATTTTAATTTCATCTTTCGTGAATCGATTGTTCATAGTCTTTGACCACTTTCCTTTTACAGTTGATTCACAAGAGCTCCTTGCATAGCGGTAGGAGGAGTGGTAACTCTTTACCCTGTGTGTTACTACATTGTTTTTCCCGAGTCTTTCAAACTTCTATACATTTTGGTGTTTCTGTTTTTTGTTGCCCAACAATATTTAAATTCTATGTAAATTCATTTTTCTTCTATGGTTTCTGGCTTTGGTGTCAAGAAAGATTTGTTTCACTCTATTGTTATTAAAAGTGTTTACTCATACTTTTGTTTCAAGTGTTCCATTTATTATACATTTTAATCTAACTGGAGTTTAATTTATGCAGTTTAATTTTTCTCCTAACACAGTAGTCAGCTGCCCCAGATTCTTCAGTGAATAATCAACATTTCTCTTGTGATTTGAAATGCCACATTTGTCACACACTAAATTCTCATAGTACTTGAGTCTGTTTTTCAGGTTCTCTACTGTGTCCCTTGGCAGTATGTCTTTTTTTGGGCCAATGCCATCAGTCTTACTGCTGTTGTTATTACTATTCTTGCTTGTGACAAGGTGTTGCTGTTGAGTAGGGGAAGTGTGTGTACCTCCCCAACTCTTTTCATAATTTTTGTTATGGTGTTTGCAGATGAATTTTAAAATAATTTTTATTAAATACTAAATATTCCTGTTGGCATTTTGGTTGGAATTACATATTTTAGAGAATACATATTTTAGAGAAAATTTACCTTGTTTTTCCTAGGTGGGAGGACAGACAGAGACAGGTCCCCAAATGCCTACAATGCTTGGCTGGGCCAAGCAGAAAATGGCTTCTAGTTCTCCCCATGGGTAGCAGGGATGCAGTTGCTGGAGCCATAACTGCAGGGAGCTGGAGTGAAAGCTGGACCTGAATATTGAATCCAGGCCCTCCGATGTGGGATGCAGGTGTCTTACAAGGCTGAACACCCATTCTGAGAACTGAAATTTTTTTTTTAATTTATTTTATTTGAGAGAGAGAGTTACAGACAGTGAGAGGGAGAGACAGAGAGAAAGGTCTTCCTTCTGTTGGTTCACTCCCCAAATGGCTGCCACGGCTGGCGCTGCACAGATCCAAAGCCAGGAGCCAGGTGCATCTTCCTGGTCTTCTATGCGGGTACAGGGACCCAAGCACTTGGGCCATCCTCCACTGCCCTCCTGGGCCATAGCAGAGAGCTGGACTGGAAGAGGAGCAGCCGAGACTAGAACTGGCATCCATACGGGATGCTGGTGCTGCAGGCGGAGGATTAACCTACAGCGCCACGGCGCTGGCCCCTGAGAACTGAAATTTTTACAACACAAGATCTTTTTGTCTGAAACCTAGGTGTGTATTTTCACTATTGAATAATTCTTTTGTATTTCTAGGTAGAGTTCTATAATTTTTATTGCTGCAAATTAATTTTCTATTTTTCTATTTGTTATTTGTTCTAATTGCAAAACTCACAGGTTTTTTTTCCCATAGGTTATCTCTGGTTTGTGAAAAAGCCATTGTATTTTCATACATGCATTTTGAAACTATCTTACCGTTTCTCTTAATACTTTGGAAAGTTTTCTAGTTTCTTTTCTTGGACTTTGCAGGACATTATGAATTACATAAAATGTTGTTAGCTGGAAATAATTTTACCTCCTTCCTTCAAGTATGCATACTTCTTATTACATTTTCTTAATGGCTTTGGCTTGAATGTTGAGATCAATATTAAGTAATTGTGAGGATCTAAGACATCCCTTTTTTTCTGATTTTAATGGAACTACTTCCATTATTTCTCCACTAATGAAAATGCTGGTCTTAGATATGCCTTATGTTATTTTTTGATAATATTCAAGAAGCATCCATCCCATCCTATTTTGCAATTTGTTTTAAAATCAGAAATAGACTTATAATTAAACAAATGTTTTGGCAGTTAAGAGGGTATATTATGTTAGTTCGCTTGCTAACATAAAGTTGTCCTTGCAATGCAGAGTGATTGACATTTATCCATGATTCATTGTCTCACTTAATTCTGTTTCTGAAAACTGTGTTTAGGATTTTTAAAATCTTGGTCCATAGCTGCCTTTTCCTTTAATAGTACTTGGCAATAGTGTCATATGCTTATGATATGTATTTGAATTATTTCTTTTTTTAAAATCTCTAAACTGTTCCATGGATTGGTAATGAAGTTTATTCATGTAAGGGAATGTTAGTTATTTATTTAAAAATGTGCTCACAAAGTGATCTTACCGATAATTGTTTGGTGCCCTGTGGAGGCCCAGAGACCTCACAGTGCAGAGGCAAAGATATTCCTGGAGGGGCTGGGTGGGGGAAGGATGGCCTCTGATGAAACCCAAGTCCTCCAAACTGACTAGGAAGCTGACGGCTGCGGATGATACAGCTGCATCCTCCCCTCCTTTCCTCCTTTTGCAAGTGAGGACACCACTCTCCTGGGAGCTCATACTCTGTCTTGCATTTTTGTAGGGACTTGATGCGTGAGTAGGTATGTTGATTGAACTTTAATATTAACACTGGACTGTGCAGTGAGCGCTTTCTTGTTCACTGTTACCTATAGTGCTGAAAGCACCATTTTCTAAAGCTGAAATGGAATCCTTATGAAAAGATTTTATATTGATATTTGAGTGACTGAAATAGATAATTAGTATTATAATTTTTTTTTGACAGGCAGAGTTAGAGAGAGAGACAGAGAGAAAGGTCTTCCTTTTTCTGTTGGTTTATCCCCCAAGTGGCCGCTAAGGCTGGCGTGTGGCGGCCAGTGCGCTGCACTGATCCGAAGCCAGGAGCCAGGTGCCCTCTCCCCCCACCCCCCGCCGGTCTCCCATGAGGGTGCAGGGCCCAAGGACCTGGGCCATCCTCCACTGCACTCCTGGGCCACAGCAGAGAGCTGGACTTGAAGAGGAGCAACTGGGACTAGATTATATTACAATATTTTTAAAAGCATATTTTATCTGGGCATTTGACCTAAGAGCATAATTAGGAATAGGGTAAAGATTTATGTATACATGGATTGATCTCAATATTATTTGTGTGCATCTAAAAAACCATCATTAAAGTATTATCAGCAGAGACACACAGACCAATAGAGATAAAAGATAATTTCAAAATAAGCCCAGTTCTGTATTAGGGAATCCCTTGGTCATAAGAACAAAAAATCCTTGTGGCAAGCTTGCGCAAAACAGGTGGAAAGACGTGGGTAGATCATGGGTAGGAAGGAAAAACCGAAGGCTGTTGGAAATGACAGGTCCGAGGCTAGGTGGGAGTCCAAGTTATAGCAATAAATGAAGGCTTTTCATAGGGAACTGCCATCAGGATAAAGCAGCTCCACATCTATTCAGCCATCTGTCGCTGTTCTCAAGATTCAGATCTGGTCATGTGCCACAAATAGACCCTCTGCTCAACATACATGGTGATGTCAGAGCCATCTCACTTGGTGTAAGCGCACTTTCTGATATTCCCACAATGACACTGTCTCACACTGCATGTCCCATAACCTATGCCTGTTGTTCAGTGGCTCATGACTATACCCAGGAAGGACATTCCACCCAGGCCCTGCACCCACCATTTGGCCAGGGGAGCACGTTTACCTGGAGTAACAGTTTTACCAAGATGTCATAGAGTAGGGATTGATAGCAGAGGCAGGGACACAACAAAGCATCTTTTTAATTTCTCTTGCAGTTAGGTGGGGGCTATATGGCTGAGTTCCGGGCAATGGAATGAGGCATACACGGGATGGATTTTGTGATGCCTTAGCTTAGGCCACGCTTGGGACTCCTGCATTCTATATCAGAATGCCTGGTTTCCGGCACTTCTCGCCTTCTCATCTACCTTCCTGCTAGTGTGCATGCTGCGAGGCAACAGATGATGGCTCAAGCACTCGAGTCCCTGCCACCCACATGGGAGACCCAGATTGAGTTCCCAGCATTGGCCTGCCCCAGATCCAGCTATTGTAGGCATTTAAGGGAGTGAACCAGTGATTGAAGACATCTTTCTCTATCTTTCTCTATTGCTCTGCCTTTCAAGTAAGTAAATAAGCTTAGGAAGAAAGAGGAAAACTGTCTCAAGAGAATAAGTGATATATGTTTTCTCTAGGTCTGGCCATTAGAACTCCCACAGAATCGTCTGTGTTCTCTGCTTCCTCACCTCCAGGCAGGATGTGGGAGAACCAGGGCAGGACTCAGGCCCTGTAGGATGTAAAATCCACCATACAGAAGGAGCAGAGTTCCCTACATCATCACATGAGGTCCAGCACTGTATGCCTACCTGCTGCACAGACAGCCCTAAGAAGCAAACTTTAATGATGAAGTCACTGAGATTTGGGGGTTCTTTGTTTCAGAAGCCAGGTTACCCTAATAATCACAAATGGATGTTAGGCAAAAAAAAAAATCCCACTTCAATTTCTGTACTTGAATTTTAAAAACTCAGTGAGGAGTTCACATAGACCACTGCAGTCTTTTTTAACCTCCAGTGTTATCCCTACACACAAGTACTCTCACATCTTATCCTCCAGTGTTCTGACATTCTTATAGTCCTAGTCCACAGACCTCTTCAATTTTTGTCTCTTTCCTTCTGAGTCATTATCACAAAGACTCCAAAACTCATCAGGCAAAATAGGACTTTCCTCTGAGGCTGAAAGGGAGGGAGGGAGGGGGAGAGAGAGGAGGGAGAGAGGGAGGGAGAGAGTGAGAGAATAGCTATTAGAGAAAGGGGGCAGTTTGGAGAAATTTGTACATTAATAATTCTAACATTTATGGCAGTGGAAATTTGGAAACTTCCAAAATATCAAACAGTAGGAAGGTTATTAAATAAATGATGGAATACTTTGTACCTGGATATATGAAAATAACAGATTTCATTCCTATACTCATGGAGCTTATAGTATTACAGGAATATTTTATTATAGTCATCAATAAATATGCTTTGAAAATATTAGTGTGGTTAATAACATCCAAAGAAAAAATGGCACAATTTCCAATGAAAAAACTCCAGGTAAGAAGTTGCTTACACTGTGTAATCTCGATTTAAATCTTTATATGTAGATATATATGCATGTGTGTTAATCAGACTTTCAGAAGAGATTATCCCTGGAGATTAATATTAGGGGGTGAGTTTCCTTTTTTATAGTTTTCTAAACTATTATAGATTTTTAAAATGTTAATAGTAAATACATTTTGCTGGCGCCGTGGCTCAATAGGCTAATCCTCCACCTAGCGGCGCCAACACACGGGGTTCTAGTCCCAGTCGGGGCACCGGATTCTGTCCCGGTTGCCCCTCTTCCAGGCCAGCTCTCTGCTGTAGCCCGGGAAGGCAGTGGAGGATGGCCCAAATGCTTGGGCCCTGCACCCCATGGGAGACCAGGAGAAGCACCTGGCTCCTGCCTTTGGATCAGCGCGGTGCACCGGCCGCAGTGCACTTGCCGTGGCGGCCATTGGAGGGTGAACCAACGGCAAAAGGAAGACCTTTCTCTCAGTCTCTCTCTCACTATCCACTCTGCCTGTCAAAAAAAAAAAAAAAAAAAAAAAAAAAAAAAAAGCAAATACATTTAATAGTGCAATTTCCAAGTTATTCTCATTATTGTTTTCTGCAATTTACAAATATTTGTAGAATGTAGAATTGGAAAAAACACCAATCAATTCACAATATTTGATATCACTGTGAACCAAAAGACTATTTGAGGGAGAACTTAGTAAATTTTTGCTTCCAATTACCCCATGAACCTGAATTTACCTACTTATAATTACTTGCCTACTCAGTGGTAATAGTTTGTTGTTCTGTAACATTTTCAAGGTTATCTATCACTTCCACATGGCATCATCTAATTGGATTAATACAGCAGAGTAGATTATTCTCTAAGTGCAAAAAATTTGCATGTGCTTCCCTTGGCTGTTCACTATGGACCTTGCAGAAACTAGGCTCTCCCATTCCTTCAATATAGAAGTCTAAGATTTCCTCAGATGGTTTTTAAACATGCAAGTTCAGCTCCTTAAAATATGGAGGTAAAATGATTAATAACATTAGACAGTTATAAAATTTGCTTAGTAAATTTCTTGTCAGTATGGAAATCTATAGATATTAAGATGCAATTTATGGGGCCGGCGCTGCGGCTCACTAGGCTAATCCTCCGCCTAGCGGCGCCGGCACACCGGGTTCTAGTCCCGGTCGGGGCGCCGGATTCTGTCCCGGTTGCCCTTCTTCCAGGCCAGCCCTCTGCTGTGGCCAGGGAGTGCAGTGGAGGATGGCCCAGGTGCTTGGGCCCTGCACCCCATGGGAGACCAGGAAAAGCACCTGGCTCCTGGCTCCTGCCATCGGATCAGCGCGGTGCGCCGGCCGCAGCGCGCCGGCCGCGGCGGCCATTGGAGGGTGAACCAACGGCAAAGGAAGACCTTTCTCTCTGTCTCTCTCTCTCACTGTCCACTCTGCCTGTCAAAAAAAAAAAAAAAAAAAAAAAAAAAAAAAAAAAAAGATGCAATTTATGCTGTGTTTAAGGAAAATGACTTTTGCTTGATACAATCAAGGCTAAGCCCATGGCATGTGCCCCTCCTTGAACTATGAAATGCCATTGAGAGGAGTGCGTGAATTATTGTAGGGGATTTTAATTTAGATTATTAAAACATTTCCATAAGCATAGAAGTCTGAGTTGATTAAACTTTAAACTTATCTGATTAAAACAGTTATTCTATTATGATTAAAGTTAGAGGAAAGTACTTCAACTGATTGGATAATTATGAATAAATAGGGAAGAATATCACTTAGAAAATCTGTTTCAATTAGTTAAGTGATTGCTATATGAAGAAAATTAAGAAGCTGAAATTGTCTTGACATTGTATCAAATTGACAGAAGCTTTGAAAATGAATAATTTCATGATATCTATGATGCCATGAATATAGAAATAGGCCTTAATTATTTTTTGAGATAGAATTTAAAGATAAAAATTCAACTCCTGAGAATTTTGGCCAGTTGGATGTTCTTGGCAAAGTCTTTCTGGCCCGTTTCCTCAGCTGTTTTGAGAGAAGACTCACAGCAAAGCTGTTACCAAGTTCCCTACACAGATCTCAGAAAAGGAAACGTGACCTGTGTTCCTATTGATTCATTTGATCTCAAACTTGTAATTCCCAATGACAAGACAGAATTTAGTCCATGCGTTAGAATTGGGATATTGACAGAGAAAACAGTACCTTTTGAGTGCTAGGCACCGTGCTCAGTGTTTTATGGGAGTTACCTCAAGTAATCTTCACAAGAACCCTATGAACTCATTGTGTAGAGGAATCCCACTTTACATAAAGATTAGGTTTTAGTGGCAGTATATAAAGTTAAAACCATTCTCAGTATGAACTACTCTTGAAAATCCTTTAAATTGCCTGTAAAATAAACGTGGCTTCAGATACTGAACTACATCTGGTTTAGTAACTCTGTTTCACAATGTACATTCCAGAATAAAGAGTTTATGTGCAGAGAAATAATAACTCAGGGAGAGGGAGAGAGTGAGAGAATGAGCATGCACCAAAGAGGAGAATTACCTATCCCAGGTATGTGCTCATTCAGTGTAGCAGAAGCACAACTCAAATTGTTACTTCTGCCTGCTCTTCTTGTCCTCTTACATGTAAACAATGGATTCAGTCTTGGAAAGGAAAGGCAGGATGTGATTCTAGTGAATTCTCCTTTTACTTAAGAAAGTTAAGGCGCTGAGTAGTTATGGGAATTCCCAAGGAGATGTAACTTGGAAGTGGAGGAGGAGCAAGTCAAAGGCTACTCCTTAGATTCTAAACCCAAGCTTCTTCCCGACTCTTTGAGCATCATGTTGCCACATCCCATTGCATCAGACCTTGATTAACTTGGTGACTTTCCCAAACTCATCATTTTTTTATTACATTATTTTAAATAACTATCATCTGGTGATAGGTACTCTCAGGACAGGTAGGATGAAGAAAGTGATTTCTAGAATCCACTTTTGGTATAAAAGGGAACTCTTATTTTTAATTTCTAGCCCAGTGTTCCTCAGCTTTGGTGCAAGGTGGAATCTGTGTTGGTTTCTCATAGAGCTTTGTGCCTGCAAAACCAGGA